CCCTACGACCACTGTAATAGACTTGGGAAATAATTATTTCAAAATTGAATACTATTGATTAATTTTACGTGGTTTCTCTCGGCGCTGAACATTTCGTGCGCAGTCGCGGCTGACACTGAGCAATATTGAACTCGAAATCGGAGTATTTTTTTTTTTTTTTCTTAAAAAAATATTTGAATACATATTCTTTCCTTAAACACGTTCTTTATATCTTTCATATTTTGTTATATTTAATAGGCTCGTAATAAAGCATTGAGTTAGAAACTATATTGTGTGAAATGTCTCAAAATTAGCTTTTGCGCTTGTCAAACCAATTAATGTCGTTAAGACGAGTAAATAACATCAAAATGAGATTATTCGTTCATAGTCTCAGGAAATTTAATTTAAGTAACAGGCTCATAATGGTAAAATTTAATTATGTCTAGAAGTGTTACCAAACCCACAATCTCAAAGGATTTGCAAACGTTTCAATACAATGGGTTCAGTCGTAGGTAATGTTTAGCTGTACAAGTCTACCACAATGGCCAATGAGGAACAGTGTGTCAGCGTTACTTTGACATAAATGATGCAAAGGTTGCATGTCGACAGCTGGGTTATGCAAAAACAGTGGGATATTGGCAATGGGGACGAGGGACAGGTAAAATATAGTTGGACGTGATGCAATGTACAGGCTCAGACACCTCCCTTGCAAGTTGTAACCTCTATCCATACGAATATAGAAACACTCTTATGACAACAGAACTAGAAATTTTTAAACTTAGCTAGTAATAATGCTACATAAATACATTAACGTACTTAGGGTCATTTACCTAAGCTACTCCCTATGATGAAAAATATCGTTTGTGTAACTAGTCTTTAGTTGTTAGTGTTGTTAGTTATTGCTACGGAACTTGTTTTCTGTTTACTTCACTCGGCAGAAGAATCCTGTCAGAACTTCTGTTACTCATTCTTTGTAATACACCAAGCATTCTTCCATTTCCCTCAAATCAAGCTTAAGTTAGTGTAGATTAGTACTCGTATATCTTTTGCAGTGTAAATGTAAGTAGATCCTGGTTTTTCTTGGTAATTGAGCACTTGACTAATGCTGGACACTGAAATGGAAAACCTCCTAGCCTTGTAAACATAATATTGTGAAGTACCGTAGGAAGATCATTTATGTAAATATTAAACAGCAAGGGTCCAAGGATACTTCCTTGAAGCACTGCACTAAAACGACGTTGGCGTTTGCTCATATATATGTATATACGATTTATCAAAAAGTTTAACTGAAATACATTAAGGTGAAAGATTAAGTAAATGATTGTGAGCTATTTGCTAAAACACATCCAGATATCATAAATGTTTTGTATCAACCACGTAATACTTTATTACCATTGTTTGAAATTTAAATATCATATTGGTTAACCATTTATGTGTAATAACACTCGACTGTATCGTTTAATATCCTGGTGGTTTTAATTTATGTATCAGCGCCATCAAACACTTCAGGATATCATTAGAAAAAACGAGCAAATTTATATTTTGTTAAATAAATTTTAATTTTTTAATTATTTATAAGCTTATGCCTGTAAAGTATCAAGTTTTTCAGTTTTCAATTTTAAACTTTTATGAAGTTCTATTGACGTAATGACGTTTTTTAACACAAAAAGAACCGCGCATCAATAGTGTGACCGTTGCAGTTAGAGTGAACGCTTTCCCATCCATCGTGAGAACAACTTCCAAGTGAGGAGTGAACCAGAACGCATTTCATTCAGCCATACTTTACCGGTACCTGTGAAACCTAGTTCGACGCATGCTACATTTGCTTCTTCCATGAACCAGCCATAATGACACACTGTCCCCCACTGGCCCTGGTGATAAATTTCCACGAGACCTAAATCAGTAGTTTAAACTCTATTTTAGCAATTAATTTTTTTCCACTTTGTATAAGAATAAGCATGAGCCTGTTGGATAACGGCATTTCAACAACCAAAATGTAATTGAATCCAAAACCGTTTTTCCTTGAAAAAACAATCTTTTGTTAGTAAAGAGCTGTCCGATTATAGATTACGATGCATTATTTTAGTATCAAGGCATGTTGGCCGTAATTTTGAATGCCATGACAATTATGACGCTCGCGTCTGTGAATTGTGCTGTCATGAAGCAACCGCCCCGAACTAAAGCTATTGTGTTTTAACATGCCAGTAACTAAAAAAATGATATAAATTTTCATCCTTAAGAACGCGACATGCGACACAACGTATAAAATTTATTTTAAAATTCGTTTTGGAACCGTCAGAAATAGCGACGATCAGCCCTGTGATAGCAGCTTAGACAACTTCATATCTTAGGCTCAGATGTGAAATCAATTGCGAACTATCACAGTGATTATTACGAAATAACACATTACGATATCACTGGATATTTGGTTTTTATATTTTATAAGTCTACCACAGTAGCCAATGGGGAACATTATGTAAAGGGGGATACAGCGATGAATTTGATATGAGGGATGTCAAGGTTGCGTATCGACAACTTGGATATACCAATACTGTAGGATATTGGTGGTTTGGACGGGGGTCAGGTAAAGTATGGCTGTGGTACATGCGGTGTAATGGATCAGAGTCCTCTCTTGGAAACTGTACTCACAATGGATGGGGAAACGTTCACTCTGCCTGCAATAGTCACACTGAAGATGTTGGTGTGGTGTTCTTTTATATTATCAAAAGTCCAAAAATGCTCGATTTTATCTTGGATATTGGTTTCTGGTATTTACGACTCGGGTATAGAGCACTCGAAGTAGAAAACACAGCTCTAACGCAAACTTCACCGTGTCATTCTTCTCATATCAAGTATTCAGGTGGTGACTGTTTTAACATTAACGAAGAAAAGGCAGATAAATCAGTTATACTAGAAATGGGAGACATGGTAGTTATGAATAACTGTGGTTTCCATTCAAATTTCTTTAAAATATGATAGCCCAATATGAAGTACGTTTTCGAACACCACTTACTTACTCTCCTCTAACAAAGCCATGTGAGCCATCTTTTAAAGAGATGAGAGCTGTCCTTCGCGATCGAGTTCAACAACGACTTGCTCGCGAAATGAACAATGTTGCCATAGGGATGGGCCTCCAAAGTATCACGGCAACTAATGCACACCATAAATTATTTTAAGCAATGTGGATATCTGTAGACTAGTTCTAGTGGATCAAAATTACTGCATAGTGATTTTATTTAACCGTTGAATGAAGTTAGCTAAGGAAATCGTAATAGTTTAGCGAAAAAGGCATAAAAGGACACACTTTGAATATAGTCTAATAATTTTACTATTCATTTCACTTGCTAAGTATAATCAAACATGCACTCTATCAGCGTATAGCTATGGCTCATGTTATCTATAAATGAATAAATGTATGCTATAAATGTCACTCTTGTTGGGCAATTGGCACATAATCCAGAACTGCTTGTAAAGCTTGAATATTTTCCATCAAGTCTCATTGGGAATAACAAATAAGGTAATTTGGAGGAATAATAATTCCACAGCCTGGAGACCAACCATGCGGCCAGGGAGGCTGGCTTGCTACTGATAAAGTTTAAAATGCGAAGTACGACAACTGGGCTTCCTTTTTTCTTCTAGGTCACGAGAAAACATCTTCTGGTTAGGTTAAGAGACGACAGCAATGACTAAAGCATGCAATTTGTGTACAAATTAATTTCCAAAAAACTATGTTTCAAATATTATTATATGTTTCTTATTTCACTATTCCGCAGCTAACGTTGATCCGCTGTTTTTAGATTACATACCGGCAAAACACAAGCCTACGGCCGAAAAATCTATTACTTTACTAGTGAGCTGCCATCACAAAATAGTATTGAACAAATGGAGATATTATTTTTTTCACAGGTATACCACAGTCGTCAATGGGGAACAGTATGTCATGATTTCTTTGATATGAGAGACGCCAAGGTTGCATGTCGACAACTTGGTTATACCAAAGCAGTAGGAAATTGGCGATACGGAAGAGGGTCAGGTAAAGTATGGCTCGACGACATGGCTTGTAGTGGTTCCGAGTCATCACTTGGAAGCTGCTCTAGTTGTAGGTGGGGCAACGGTGATTGGTGCGGCGGAAAGCACTTATATGATGTTGGTGTCGTATGCTTACACTTTTGTAAACCCCTGTATGATTATTTATGGTCATGGAAATTAATTTTCTTACCATTAATCCCAATCGGTAGTTTAAGCGGGTTGCTCGCTTGAGTGGTGGAAATTTGATTCGCAATTGATAGCATTTTGTAAGTAGTAAGAACTAAGACCCCGTTTTTGTTATTTTCCTTTTTCTAGATTTGCTTTAAGAGGGTAAAGCATATTTGTTATAGATTTTTTCAGCATTAAGAGAATAGCCATGATTTTGATTCGTAACTGTCGATCGTTTGAGTGCTAAATCAAAAGAACAACATTTTAGCCCCTATAGTTCCACCTGTTACTAAATACCTTGGGAGGGTTCATACTTTTTTTGAATATGCGATTATATTTTTGTAATAATTAGTTTACTTAACGTTTACCTAAAATGTCCTTACAGTGCGGACACTCGAACCATGAACACTTCAACAAAATTACAATATACAATACAATCGAACATTTTTAAAGCGTCTTCCAATCAAAACCAACGGCGGAAAATCTTTAGAGATTTTTAGCTTCCTCCGTGTGTACTAATAAACTGCTAGATTGCCGCACAAACTGCAAACTTTCAATAATTAACAAAAACGAAACAAACATTTAGTTAATTGACGAAGTAGCCGTTATTAAAAAATTGATACACTTGTATCAATTGTATTACCGATAGCAGAGTAAGTCATACATTACAAAAAACAAAAAATATCGTTCATTGACAAAGCAGCTGTTATTAAAAATATGATATACTTTATGTTGTAAATTTGTAAAAAAAACTTTAACGCCAACAACAACCCAAAAGTCTGAAATTGAACGAAAAAATGTTGGAACTTCTGTAAGAATCTGGCTTTGCATTGGGTTGTTCGCAAAATGTTAAAAAACCTTGAGGTGTTCATGGTTCGAGTGTCCGTACACTAAGAGCCTTCGCATCATGCATATTCCAGCCACCATAAACATCAACGCCTCTTTACATCACATTCGAGCAAAACCTCGACATCAAACTCACGCGCCGAGCTAAATTGTTTTTCGCGCAACATTCCTAACTGTCCACGTCACTGGGCTTGTCGCGTCATGCAAGTGAGACGTCTGTAGGTTTGTTTTTGAAAAAAATACACCATACTGATTACGGTAGTATCGTACATGTACAAGTATACCACAGTGGTCAGTGGGGAACAGTGTGCCAAGATTACTTTGATATGAGGGAAGCCAAGGTAGCTTGCCGTCAACTCGGTTTTACTAGCGCTGTAGGATATTGGTGGAACGGACGAGGGATGGGTAAAGTATGGTTGGACGACATGGAATGTACTGGTTCGGAGTCATCACTTGGAAGCTGCTCTCATCCAGGATGGGGTAACGTTGACTCTGCGTGCAAAACTCACAATTATGATGTTGGTGTGGGTGTTTTAATATTATGAAACCTTAAGACAAGCAATTAATGAAATCATGAAACAAGGAACATGAAATTTTGAAATATAATTCTATTGGGTCATTATTGATATCGTTCTCTCGAGTTCCTATAAAAAGTCATTAACATTTTGAATATGTTGCTATTTCTGAATACATATATTGGTCAGCTCTAAATTCGTGCTTGGCCGGGATTGTGGCCACCATATATGCCCTTTATATTGATTTTTGCTGTATGAAATTATATCTTTTTTTCAACCCAGTTAACCGCCTTTCACCCAAATTGGCCTTGAAACCCCTTTTTTAACAATCGAAATTGTTTCACATAGATGTGCCCTGGTTTATCTAAGTCATTTTGTCGTTTTTAACTTATTTAGTTTACATTCCAAGGAAAAGAAGTAGATTAATGTTCAAGGCCTGAGTCACTGACTTAAAGAAACAAATGGTGTTTTAGTACTCTGCGTACTAGAGTACTACCTATTATTACACATAAAGAACACTATTGCATATTTTTATCACTAGCTAATCTGTAATTTTTCACAAAGAGCTAAATACTTGCTAATATGCATTTACATGGAATGTCAATATTTATGATTTATTTTCGATTACCTTCTCCGGCGGCATCCATTTTTTCACCACAAAAGCAATGTAAAAACTCACCATTTATACGATTGATATCTAGTTACGCGAATTTCCAAAATTATCAATTATCTTAAATGATTAATCGATATATCTTTGGTGACATTAGTTAGCTCTATCTCATTGATTCAGATAATTCAAACTTTGTTTTAGCAAACACACCCATTTTTTATTCAACAGCTTTGTTATTCCCCATTTTGACGACAAGCAACTTTGACATGTCACATGTAAAAGTCATAATTTTAAAATTCACATATGGTTCCCTTAATGAGTAGTATAAAAGTACATTCCATATTTCATGATAAGCTGTGCTTTGTTTAACTAAAGAAATGATAAAAGTAATTTATTTTACGCGTAATTTAATTCTTTTAAATTCTTTTTAAGTAATATCCGCTTATGCTACAAGAGTATTCACTTTCAGTAAAAAAACAATATAAGAATTGAAACAGAAACTTCCAAAGAATCATTCTTAAGTCAACAGTTTCGATATCATCAATTTAAGGACATGCAAAGTTGGCATCTGAAACGCAAAGGAACAAAAATTGCAACAACGATTTTGGGTTTAATGTATTATACAAGTCTACCACAGTGGTCAATGGGGAACAGTGTGTTTTGGTGGTTCCGATGCCTTTGATATGAGGGATGCCAAGGTTGCATGTCGACAACTCGGTTATGCCAAAGCTGTAGGATATTGGTGGTTTGGACAAGGGACGGGCAAAGTATGGCTGTATAACATGCAATGTACAGGCTCGGAGACCTCACTCGGGAGCTGTACTAGTAGTGGGTATGGTAATGGTGCTTGGTGCAGTCATGGCAACGATGTTGGAGTTGTATGTTATATGCAGTTATAAAACGCAGGGATCGGCAAACGACGAGAAGTATTAAGATTAGAATAGACATTATTTATACTAATGACAGACTAGGAAAATGGCGCCCATGATGTGTACTATAAAAAGCAACCACTTCAATGTATCAAAATCCGATTTTCATTTTCTTTTTTTTTCTTTAATGTAACGACAAGGATGAAAAGTGCTTGTCTAACCGATGCAAAATAAGAAATTAAACATGGGCGCTCATTGTGTTCTTTAGCAAAAAATCTGCTTGTTATTCCTGCAACAAATAGAAAGACTGCACCAAAACTTTGGAACTCGATGGCTAGCAGCATCCGATAATCCAATAACTAAATCATTTTACAGGCATTCTTGGTTTGGTTTTTCAGGTATTATACAAGTCTACCACAGTGCTCAGTATGGAACAGTGTGTCATGGTAGTTCCTATTACTTTGATATGAGGGATGCCAAGGTTGCATGTCGACAGCTTGGTTATGCCAAAGCTGTAGGATATTGGTACTACGGACGAGGGACGGGTAAAGTTTGGCTGGTAAATATGCAATGTACAGGCTCTGAGACCTCCCTTGGAAGCTGTACTAGTAGTGGATATAGTAATGGTAATTGGTGCGGTCACACAACTGATGTTGCTGTTGTGTGTTCTGTCTTCCCAAACATCGCATTGTCTTTTTCACTCCTCAGCTAAATTATGAGTCTACCCGTTGTATTAATCTGAGCAAATCTATTTTAATCCATTTATATCTTTGACAGTCCACCCATGAAGAAATGGTTGACGCTTTCGTTATACACCAGTTTTTCGCATGCAGTTGCAACCTCAATCACGGCTGTTTTTCGAGCTAAGTGGTCATCATCAGATTCCATTTATTAAACCCGCAAAAGCCTGTGAGCCAGACGACAGCTGCACGTAGGATTCTAACATCCGACAGTCTTGGCCGTTGTAAAGAAACTTGTCCATAAGTAATCTTTGTAATGGCAGATATTTAGAGGTTAAGCAGTAAACACGGGCTGTTTTTGGTGACCATTTAATTACGATAATTCTTACTACATAACTTACGGTACCAGGCATCATAAGTATGATATGACAGCTAAAGAAAACGTATCCTATCCATTGTGAGTACAGTTTCCAAGTGAGGACTCAGAGCCTTAAGAAAGAGTGGGAACCAAGTCCCTTGAAGTAAAAATAGTTTTACTTCTAGACAAAGACGCCATACTATGATTCCTGGCCAGTATCGCGAAAATTACACGACGTATTGCTTTGGACTCTCTTGGACTAATACATAGACTTATGGCTGTATGGTTAAAGTTTCACAGAGTATTGTATTCGGGCCAAACAGCTGCACTTGAGGTGAGAACAAAAGTGAGGGAGAACAGTAGTCGTGGTTGAAACAAAAATTCTATGTTGCTCATGACTGAGAGAGTGCTGTCTTCGTAGATTTGTTTGATGTGCTAGTATTCGCGCTTAAAACTCGAGAATTTCTTCTTGGTGTTCGAAGCTGGTATTTTTATGATACTTTTATGATTTACTAATCCTATAAATTGAAACGTTAGCTTTAAATAAGTCATTCAACACCTCCCGTGGGAGGTATGATGTGTTGAATTTTAAGAGGTGCACTGTCCTCAAGCATCGATTCGCAGGTCGATGTTGTCGGTACCTCGGTAAGCTTCAACCGGGCACTTTGGGTCTCCTGTACCAAACATTTTTTTTTGGCTTGGATGTCCGATCTGATTACGGACCAGAATTTCCTAAAGATCATAGTTCCCACAAAGCCACGTTTATTATTGATTCCTTTATGTGTTCTCTTGAAAGTAGTGTCTGGCTTTCAGCCTTTACCTTTTTCATTTAGTTCTTTTGGCGTTAAAAAGTCTTAGGTGCTTTGAAAAGTTAAGACTCTCAATCACCTAGTGTGCATATGGTTTTTTTCTCAAAAATCTTTCGATTTAATTCCTAAAACTCGTTTAACTATTAGGCTTATCTACTTAACTATTAGTTTCTGTGCTCTTTGACGAAGGCTTCAATTTCGTTATCAGTTAGCACCCTATTTTCCTTTTGGTTTTCTGGATTCTCTAGGCTGCAGTAAACGTTAAAAGTTGGATCTGACTGATGTTTTTTTAGAACTTAAACTACACTGACTGAGCATGAATAGCAGCCGCACAGTGCATGATCGGAAGGAAGATAAGAATACCGACGAAATACAAATGCTTTCTTGCATTCTAATTAGCTTTATTTTCTATGGTGTGGGATAAAACATTACATAACATGACGTTTAGATATTGATCTTTCGTCACGTACACTGAAGAACTAACGATAGTTTATCATTCGACATGAGACAAGAAATACATTTATCCCCAAAATCGGTCATATAGTTTCCTTGGAATACATATCACGCTCACCTAACGAAAACAGCTGAAAAAAACAATTTTAGTCCAGAGTCAGCTACCTCACACGAAAGCTACTTTTCCAGTTGATGGTGAAGATAATGGCTGCACCACATGCAAACGGAACAGGCTCAGAAGGCGCATTCTCTATATTCACACTATAAATGTCGGTAAGGGACGGGCAGATAGATAGAAAATCCGACCACAGTATGAACACTTCAGGTGACCAAAGACACATAGCATGCATTGCCAGACAATATCTAACGTAAAAGTAGGACCCATTGTCATGGATGCTTTGGGAAGATAAAATTTTACTTCGTCGACGGTGAGAATGCGGATGACGTAGTCGAAGTAGCTACTGTTGGCAATGATGTTGAGGGAAAATATTGTATAGAAAATTAAAACAAAACAAAAAAGCTCAACTAAATTGCATGTTGATTCCAATTGATTCCAATTTTGTTTCGATAATTTATTGGATATTGGACATTTGGTTTTTATGTTTTATAAGTCTACCACAGCAGCCAATGGGGAACATTATGTAAAGGGGGATACAGCGATGAATTTGATATGAGTGATGCCGAGGTTGCGTGTCGACAACTTGGATATACCAATACTGTAGGATATTGGATAACGCAAACCAGTACCAGTACCATTTGAAACTCGTTAGCGTCCCACAAACGGATAAATATGGAAATCTGAGGAGACCGTGAGTTTATGTCTTAAAGTTTTCAAAGAAATGGGAGTTAACATGTCAGAATAAGATATTGATATTGCTCATATAACACCAGGCCGTGATAAATCGTCTTTTAAACCAGATCCTATAATTTGCAAGTTTACAAGGAGAGTGGTAAAGGATAAGATTTTGAATTAAAGAAAAGAATCATAAGTAAATATATAAGTTGTTTATTTTATTATTTATTTATCTTCCATTATGATTTTTTTAAATATACATATTGTAATTTTTATTATATCTATTATTGTAACTTTAGTAATTTTATATACACGGTCATGTTTTAACGGGTGCAAGCTTTAACCTTTAGCCTATTATTATTATTATTATTATTATTATTATTATGATTATTATTACTATAACTATTATTATTATCATCATCATCATCATCATTATTATTATTATAAAAATAAAATTGAACAAATGGAGATGTCAGTAGTCAATGGGGAACAGTGTGTCATGGTAGTTCCTATTACTTTGATATGAGCGATGCCAAGGTTGCATGTCGACAACTCGGTTATGCCAACGCTGTAGAATATTGGTACTATGGACGTGGGTCGGGTAAAGTATGGCTGGACAGTATGGCTTGTAGTGGTTCCGAGTCATAACTTGGAAGCTGCTCTAGTAGTGGGTGTGGCAACGGTGATTGGTGCGGCGGTAACCATTTACATGATGTTGGTGTCGTGTGCTTACAATGTTTAAACTATTCACGTACTGTTCATCTGTTGAGAAAACAAATTTTGTAGTGTAGACTGGTCAAAGGTAAGCTCCGTCCGTATAGCTGCTTTAGATAAAAAATATTTTATAATAAAAATGTGTAGCTGTTTCAAAACGCAAGGTTTCCTCATTGACTTCCATTTCATTTTGTCAAATCACTGTCAGAAATTCTACTTCAAGAATGCAAAAGATGTTGCCCTATTTAAAAAATATATATATAGGTTTTGACCTTGTTTTTTATTATATCCCGAGCACACGACACCAGCATCATTATAATTGTGATTGCAGCCACCAACATTTCCCCATCCATTGTGAGTACAGCTTGCAAGTGAGGACTCTGAACCTGAACATCCCATGTTGTACAGCCATATCTTACCCATCCCTTGTCCAAAATACGAAGGTCCCAAAGTTTTGGTAAAACCCAGTTGACGGCATGCAACTTTGGCATCGGGCATATCCCAGCTACTATGACATACTGTTTCCCATGGTCGTATTGTGTGTTTTGTTTCAGTTTGTTTATTGCTCTTAGACACTTTTTGGAACACGTCCTTCGATATGAATGATGCTCAGCTTGCATGTCGACAGAATGGTAATTCCAAAGTTTTAGGATATTAGCATAGGGACTAGGGATGTGTAAAGTATGGCTATATAACATGCAGTGTTCTGGCTCAACATGCCTTATAGCTGTTTTCGTAACACGGGCGTGATATCTATTCTAAAGAGGTAGTATATCTAATATGACTGACTTTGGAGCGATTGAAATTATCTGATCCCGTGTGTAACGACAAATAATTGTTTCCCCTTCAGAGTGTGTGACAGAGATGACGACATATTGTCCTGACATCATACTCATGTTTGTTTTAGTTGGATTTTTATAAAAACTACGTAGTTATAATAGCTCAATGCATTTTTAAATTTATAGATTATTGATAAATTGCCTACTGGACAGTCTTAGTTTCATGTTTACTGAAAGAATGAATCCGTATTTTTATGTACTTTTCTTGTATCAAGATACAACGCTATTTTGCTCCGGCATGTGCACTTTGCTCCTTTCAACATTTATGAAAAATACAAATATATATTTAAAAAAGACAATTACCCAAAATCTGAGACGTTGCATGCATTATACAGGTCTACCACAGTGGTCAATAGGGAACAGTGTGTTATGGTGGTAACAGTGATGACTTTGACATGAGGGATGCCAAGGTTGCATGCCGACAACTTGGTTATGCTAAAACTGTAGGATATTGGCAATATGGACGAGGAACGGGTAAAGTATGGCTGTACTGGATGCGCTGTTCAGGCTCAGAGTCCTCACTAGGAAGCTGTACTCACAATGGATGGGGAAACGTTTGGTCTGACTGCAACCGTCACACATATGATGTTGGTGAAGTTTTGTTTTTATTCTTGAATATTTATTAAGTAAATAGCTCTTATTAACCGAGTTAAACGTTTGGTCTGACTGCAACAGTCACACATATGGTGTTGGTGTAGTTTTGTTTTTATTCTTGAATATTTATTAAATGAATAGCTCTTCTTAACCGAGTGCGAGGTCCGTACCGTAAGTTATGGACGGAGTTGTTGTTTTGTTGTTGAAAAACAGAGGATCCATAACTTACGGTACGGAACGAGCAAACGTGGTTAATAAGATATTTAATATATGGCTAGGCATTGAGATTAAAAAGAGGCGAAGCAACACAAAGTTGACAGCGCATGTCAAACGAGAACTGCATTGGAAGGGCTTCCTGTACGTGCCACAAGTCATGTAGTGTTTGAGTCGCTCAGAAAGAGAAGTTTAATTTACTTTGAATGAATTTATCTATAGTTTAAAGTTTTCTGAAATACTAGTTAACAAAAGTGAGGCTTTCTTTTGCAAAACATGTGAATGCAAAGCAAAAAGACATCAGAAGACCTCAAGAACTCAACATGAGATTGAGAAGAAAACTGTCGTACTTCAAACGAATTCTTCTCTGAAGTCTTGCTCTGTAATCACGGATATCACATTTGAAATTACCAATTTTATGAAATTAATGCTGGTGATATGTACAGCATACACTAGTTACTTACGACCAATAAGGCATTTCCAATTGGCTCGTTTGATACATTTGAGGGGATTGAACTCGACTTTTTATATGAACTATATACTTCTATGCTTGGTAGTAGAAGAGCGAATTTCAGTAGCTATTTACGACCAAAACTGTTCAGCATTCTACTGATACAGGAAAGCTTAATTCAAAGACAGCTCGTAGTAACATCAAAAAAACAATGATGAAAGTCGTTGTTGAGTGAACAAAGACAAAACTTGAGCCAAAGACAAAACTTTTAAAGATGTTGAAGCTACGAGTATCTTAAACCACATCATTTCCTCATAAACATAATAGCTATAATGGAGACACTATGCGAGTCTACCACAATAGTCAATGGGGTACAGTGTGTGGTGGTTACTGGGATATGAATGATGCCAAGGTTGCATGCCGTCAACTTGGCTTTTCCAAGACAGTAGGATATTGGCATTTTGGACGAGGAACGGGAAAAATATGGTTAAACGGCATGGCTTGTTCAGGTTCTGAGTCCTCACTTGGAAGCTGTTCACACCGTGGATGGGGGAACATAGCTGGAACTAGCTGCAGCAGCTACCAATATGATGTTGGTGTGGTGCTCTGTCTTTCCAAAAACAAAGAGAACATTTCTTTCATTGTAGCTTTTAAACAGTATGATCTTTCTTACCGCTTTTCACGAATCATATTTTGTACATCTTTCATCTACATTAATATTTATTCATAAAACGGTTTCATTGTATTTATCCAGACGACCGGAATCACATTCGGGGAAATTGGGTTCTTTAATAAAAGACAATAATTAATTATTAATTACAATTCTTATAGACCTTAAATTATATGAGAAATCGACTTTCCAATTAGAGATACTTTCATTTACGTTTCAGGATAACTTTGAGACCTAATTCGAGACCGTCAAGATCCCTTTACGCTGGAAGCGAATATCGCGCTGCCTTTGAAATATTATTATATCATATATTTTCCAGTAATGATAAAAGGGTCAATTTTACACCATCAAAAGATGAAAAAACGTACTCACGTTTCGTCGGAGTAAAAGAGAAAAAGGTGTTAGGAAGGAGTGTTTATATACTGAGAACAAGACAAAAGATATTACGCGCTTGGCTATAAACACGCTGGAAGCTGTAGAGCACAAGATAAAATAGCTTAGGAACATGAGAGAGTGTCTGTCCTCTGATATAAACCAAAGTACCCAGCCAGTCAGCGCGCGCGTTTATCTCAAATATTTAATAACAATATATATAGTTCTAGTTTAGGATTAGCTAATGCAATTCTAGCAAGTAATCATTTGCAAACATATAGTAATTGCTTAGTTGTATGCAGGTTTATTGACGTTTGTCAATAATTAAAAGTCTACCACAGTGGTCAGTGGGGAACAGTGTGTCATAGTTACTTTGATATGAATGATGGCAAGGTTGCATGTCGGCAACTCGGTTATGCCAAAGCTGTAGGATATTGGCAATATGGACGAGGGACCGGTAAAGTTTGGCTGGACAACATGCGCTGTACAGGGTCAGAACCCTCACTTGCAAGCTGTTCTCACGATGGATGGGGAGGCCATGGCTCTAGCTGTGACAGGCACCAGTTGATGTTGGTGTCGTCGACCATGTTCGAACATTCATTCCTCTTTTAATCATTGTTCATTGTCCTTACGTTTCTTATTTTTCACTTTTTTTTCTATTGGACCTTTTGGCTAATAGCAATGCAGTGTAGTTGAAAAAATTCCCCATCTCAATAAGACGTCACATCAAAGCAATATATTGTTTTTTTAACGCTAAGGATCATGACGCCAGAAGGGGCGAAATATAACAGCCACACCAATAGAAATTAAATCACAATAAAATTTGGTTTATGAAGTGGGGACAGCTAGATATTGCACTAATAACGCAAACGAAAAGACGATCCTAAATTTTTAATATTACTGTCCACATAAACAAGCTGTGACTTCGTCATGAAATAAGTCAATTGATATCTTGAAATACAACTACTTTGAAGTTCATTTCATCCGTAGAGCAATTCTGAAATTTTGAAAAATTTAATGAAGGATGCGTGGTTAAATGAAGACCTTAGAAATGTTTTGATGATAAAAATGTCCTATTACTAAACAGTAACAGGTTTCTACCTTGGTGTTTGCTGTATGCAAACACGACATCAGCATCACTATAACCGTATTGGATTTACCACCTTTTCAATTCCCATAAATTATGACTACAACTTCCAAGTGAGGCCTGTATAGTTCATGCTATTTAGCCCTACTTTTCCGACCGCTTCTCCTAGATACGAAGGTAAAACGTTTTAGTGAAACCAAGTTGTTGACATGCAAACTTGACATTCCTTACCTCGTATAAATTGGGTGTTCCAAAACCGCGAAAAAGCGAAATAGCAAAATAGCGAAAAAGCAAAACATTGGTGTTGACATATTGATGCACATTAAGAAGAAAATACACCGTAAACATCTACATGAAATAACAATTTTGCCTGAAATCGACACGAAATGTATTCCTTATTTATAATTTTTATTCTATATGTATGTTCATTCCGCTATTTCACTTTTTCCCCATTTCGCTTTTTCGCGGTTTAGGAACACCCGTATAAATTAACTTTGTAGGACTCGTTAATAGTCTGTTTTCTTGAATTGGGGAAACAGTAACACAATTTCCTAAAGCAAACTATGTTCTCATCGTTGGTTTCTACATAAAACTACAACCAAAGTTAAATTATGTACACCTTGCAAGAAAATCATCATGATATCAATTCTAAAGTAAGAATGTAAGTCTAGGCAAAATTCGAAGAATTCAAACTTAATTAATTAAGACATATACCATTAAGCTAGTAACTATTAATAAGTACAGGCTCAGTCTAGAGTGAGATTGTATTTAGTTCTATAGTAAATGATGCTGGTAAACTCTATATATCTATTTATTTATTGCTTTATTTTTTGGTTTATGCATTTTGTCGCCTTATACAGTTCTACCACAGTGGTCATCTAGAAACAGTGTGTCATGTTTCGTTTGATATGAGGGATGCCATTGTTGCATGCCAGCAACTCGGTTATGCCAAAGCAGTAGGATATTGGCAATATGGACGAGGGACCGGTAAAGTATGGCTGCAGAGCATGAGCTGTTCAGGTTCAGAGTCGTCACTTGCAAGTTGTTCTCACGGTGGATGGGGAATCCATGGCCTCTAGCTGTGACAGTCACCGGTATGATATCGGTGTCGTATGATCAGATTATACAAGTGAATAATATACCCATGATATACCATTGTTATCAGGCTTGTTGCCACGAGTAATTTGCATTATATTCCAATGACAGGTTGTTTTTTTTAAAGACATCTTACAGCTTTCTTCGTAGTTGAATTCATGTTACCTCTACACGCTTAAGGTATTAGGATACGTTTACGACCACTATGCGCGCAAACTTAAATAACGCGCTGACATTATAGTATAACACAAACAAAGTATACATTTTCTGAAAGCTGAGTAAACAAAGTTATGAAGAAATGTTCAAAAAACGATTTTTTTCATTGTTGTTCACATTATTGTCCTTGAAGCGAAATTTGACCATGCCTCAGTGAAAACGTTAACGGAGACGTGCATTTTAAGCTATGTTTGCGAAAAATGGCTTAACATACTCAGGAGATAATAAGGTCAAAAAGGGTGTCCCAGATTTTTGATATCTGTTTTCGCTATTTTTGATCAAAGTTAGGCGATTGCTTTTGGAGTGCTGTTTAAAGTAAAAAGCGTCATAACTTTGGAAAGAAATTAAAATTAAATCGGAGACACACTTTTTTGGATCATGAGTTACTTTATAAACTCTCCAAAGTTTAGAAAAATCGAATGACATCAAAGGGACTTTTAGCTTTTTGAAGTTGAGGTTTTAGCGGCAAAAAAAGATTCGAGAAAAACGCATTTCTTTGTTTGGAGCCGGAAGCTGCAGGGAGCCACGATGGTGTTGGTCAGAACACCTTGTGCCTTCCATTTTGTCATCACTTTTCAAATTATCTGGTGTTCTGGACAATCGCAATGTAGGATCTTTTTACAAAGGCAAAGGAGCATGACAGATGTGCATATATTAAGCGACGGTACATTTCCGGTCTTGATAAAGCCACGATTTCGATTTTTCTCAAATTTTGGCTTTTCCAATCAAAAATTTCAAGAAGTTTTTACAAACATATGAAAGATAAAAGTTTAAAATTACGAAATTAAAAAGAAAATTTTTTTTCGAGCAATTCGTCAATTTTCGTATCCTAAAACCTTAAGACTAATTAGTCTTTAAAGGTTTTTTTATTATATATTGCAGTAAAAAACGATTTCAAGAAATTCAACAGTTGGTTCTGTTCATAGAAAAATATTTTAACTCTTTCTTGAACGCACAATTATGTTACTACTAATAATTAAGCCACCAAAAGAAACGTCTTTGTCTCATATCAGCTAACGATAAGGGATTTACCAAACGTTTCGATACATGGTCGTCGACACTATAACTAAATTTCGATTGATCGGGAAAATTTTAAATTTGTCTAGCCTTGTGATAATTATGTCCTTTAACCACTGCAATCGTAAGCCATCCGACGAGTCTGCCTCGAAGAACTGACTGTATGGTTGTTGCCACATAGTTTAAACTTCATTTCATCACGGCGATTAAGCAACTTGAAAGATATTTTTATTTTCACAGGTATACCACAGTATTCAATGGGAAACAATGTCTTATGCTTACTTTAATATGAGAGATGCCAAGGTTGAATATGGACAACTTGGTTTTACAAAAACTGTAGGATATTGGCAATATGGACGAGGATCGGGAAAAGCATATATAGACTATTTCATAAAACAGGAAAATTAAAGATTTTGAAGAATTAACAAGCATTACATTTTTGCACGGTTTCTCATTAAAGAATTTAAACTATAAATAAATTGAAAAGTATTACATATTATTAATTTTGCATACAAAGAAATTCCTAGGAGGTCAATGGGGAACCGTCTGTTGTGATTCCTTTGATATGAACGACGTAAAGGTAGCTTGTCGTCAACTCGGCTTTTCCGCCGCTGTTGGACTTTGGAGTTACGGTCAAGGAACTGGGAAAGTATGGCTGAACGACATGGGTTGTTCGGGTTCAGAGTCAAAACTGCAAAACTGCACTCATTCTGGTTGGGGAAGCGTTGTATCTGAATGCCATTCTCACCAGTATGATGTTGGTGTGGTATCGTATAGTTTTGGTGTTTGGTTTGTTTATGCAAATCTACAACAGAGATCATTGGGGAACGTATATTGTGATAACTTTGAATTGAGGGATGATGCAAAGGTGGTGTCTCGTCAACTCCGCTCCGATGTAGGAAATTGGACGAGGGTCAAAGTTCTGGGAAAATATGGCTGAACGGAATGGGGTGTTCAGGTTCAGAGTCAACATTTGGAAGCTGCACTCATTCTGCATGGGCAAGTGTTGCTTCTGACTGCTATCCTCACCAGCATGATGTTGAGTGATTTTTAAATTATATAACTAATCCTTTAACAATTAAAGATACCAAGGAACGAGAAACTTATCTAGTTTTTCCTGATTCGACTGTTGAAGTGAAATCGGGACAAATGTGATCTTTTTATTTTACGCAATATTTCGTTTTTTGCCATGAAAGTCTAAGTTCCTTGTTTTTTGTCTTCGTTACTAAGTTTTTCTTAAATTAAATCCAATTACACTCTACGCATTAACGCTTAACCTACGAATATTGCAATGATTGAAAAAAGTATTCGATTATTGAAATAAAGAAACGTAGATAATGCATCACAAATCTTAAACGCATTAAAACGACGTTTTAAAAGAGTTTAAAAACTTATTTTAATTAATTGAAAAGTATTTTAAATTCGTGCAAGTATTTTTGTATTGGAAAAAGCAGTAAAATGTGCAGCTCGTAGGATATGTTGCAGCTGTCGCGTCAGTTTTGATCACTATCACTATTCGTATTCAAGCCAGACTTAGAAAAGCTGAAAAATGCGAGGTTATGCGTGGAGTGTGTTGACTGTAAAAATATTTATATTTTCATATCACGTTATTTTCTTATTTATTATATATATATATATATATAC